ACTTTCAATCAACTTGCAGAAGAAAATACCATGTTTGATATCAGATACAATTAAAAGTTTTAAAATTTTTGAGAAAGAATAGGACTGCATAAAATGAAGTACTTCTTTGAAATACTAATAGTAGTGATATTTTGTAACAGAAACAAGAATATTTTGAGTATCTACTATTATAAATTACTGACATATGAGGGTAGTAAGCATGAGATAGTTTTTAGCTAAAAATGAATGAAACACAAGAATGCCTAATGTTTTAAGCTCCATTTTCTTCTCTATGGTCTTCTATAGTAGTAAAATTATCAGTTAATAACAATAATGTATTGATGCTTATATGAATATCTTAAATTTTTCTGTCTTTTGTAATATGTCTTACAAGAGTCTTTATCCCTTCAAGCTTACTTCATGAGATTTTAGTTGACCCCACGTTTTCTTTCCAATTATTATTTCAATTAAGTATATCTTTTAAAGACAATTTGCACACCTAAAATGTACCAATAAACTTAGTAAAAAAAAAGGGACAATTTACAATTCCTAATATTTTCTGATATCCATAGGAGGCAATTAAGCTATTTTGGATTCAGAATTTCCCAAATCATTAGTCTCAGTCAGCATAATCTAATTTGGAGTGGTAACATATTTCTTCACCTAATGTTTTACTGAGAAGAATATTAGGGCAAAAGACAAGTGATGAAAGTTCCCTTTTCTCAGCATCTTCATAACTTCGTTGAACATGATATATTGGCTAGGTTATTGATTTAGGAATGATCAGCAGGATTACTTTCCCTAAAGGAATATTAAGATGATTCGTAATAGATTTGAAACCTGATTTCTGTCTTCCCATATAAACGTGTACAAATTTGTAAGTTTGATTCTCTTTAAGTTTCCAACTTAGAAACATTCTTTCTGCACACAGAGGCATCTCAGCTTTGTAGTTTCCCATGAATTTTAAAGCAGACTAGTTGAGGGCTTAGATGGAGGCTAATGTATCATCTGGCCTTGTCTTAGCTATGGATTTTTTTAAATTGTTTAAACTGTTTCCATTTGTAATTCTATACTTATAAAACAGAGTAGTATTACTGAGTTCTTAAGATTTGGGTGAGAATTAAATATGCTAATATATGCAAAACACATAGAACAATACTTGGCAACAAATAACTATTCAATAAATATCAGCAGATAATAGTATCTTTGTATCATTTCTCAATTTGAATTCTTAGATTATAGATCCAATGGGATCTTTCAAGGAATAAATAAGTATGTGTTCAGTAGATGGTCATTTCTGTCCTGGTTTCTTCTCATTAAAATTTATATTGCAATCTTCAGGCACTCAAATACTATGTGAGTTTTTTCCATATTTTATGCAAGATACTAGTTTTAATTTCTATTATTTAAACCAAAATAACTTTATTTTAAAGGAAAATGTGTATTCATATCACTAGCAAATGGCTTTGATGTGATAAAGTTTTTTGTATTAAAACTTAAGATTTTATAAGTAATAATTCAAATTTAAAATCTCACCAGTTAAAATAATTTCTTGTATGCTTGACAATATGTACACAACCTAAGTTGAAACATTGCTTTAGAAAAAAGGTTCCACAGATGTATGGAAGGTAATACTTTTTTTTTTTGTATTACATTCTTTTATTGGTACATTGGAAGGTAATACTTAAAGGATGAGCCACTATGCCCACCAAAATAAAATAATAATGGACAAAATAGGCCATGTATTTGGACATAAAAGAAATGGTGAGACTAGCTGACTTAGATGAATAGCTAAATGCCCATTCAGCCATACTGTAGAGATATTTACCTGGCACCATTTTCTATAACATGTGAAGCTTGAGGTATTTCACATGCCAGAGAACTACCTTAACCCCAAGGCTAGAAATCTAGTTAGGTTTCAAGAAAATAAAATTTAAAAACTCCTCCCATCCTAGAATTCTACAACCCTTATAAATATAAAAGTTCAATATAAAACATATTAAATTTTCAGTAGTTGTTATAAATCTTAGTATATTGAATATTTAAGGGTAGTGATTTCCAAATGTATGACAGTATAAAATGACTTCTTGATTTTTAAGAGGATTAAATGCCAAATAGATAATTCTTAAGACCTTTCATTTTAGCATCAATTGAATATCAACTATAGTCATCATTTTTTAGGGTTTATAGTTATAGTTTGTGTCTAGATGTATATGGTTATAGTTTGTGTCTAGACATCCCCCTCAACGCCTCATGTGGTCATAGGTGGGGCTTTTTCAGAAGTGCCTGAATCTAGAGTGTGTGATACTGGGATTAATGCATGGTGAAATGCTAGGATTAAAGGTACTGGGATTAGGAGTATGTGATTACTAAATTAGCCCACTGATTGGTTTGGCACCTGCTCTAAACCAAGTAGCCTAAATAATATATAAAAGAGACAGAAAGAAGCTGTCCCTTGGTGCCATTCTGACTTCTGCCTTCTACCTGCCATGAGCTATTTCTCCTCTACAATGCCCTTCTGCCATACCACCCTGCCTTGGATGAATTGAAACCTCTACAAACTGTGAGCCAAGTAAATCTAACCTTCTTTAACTTTGGGTGTCAGATATTTTGTCTCAGCAAGGAGAAAAGTAACTAAGACAGCTAGCAGCTATAAAATCATCTGAAGTATGGATGGCTTCAAGAAATAGAAATGAATTTCTCACTTATGTAACAGAAGGAAATTTCCACAGTAACTCTCTCTACAATTTTTCTCTAACTATAAAATTATTCCAAAGTGAAAAGCTTAGTAATGAAAACAAAGTGAACCTTTCAATTGTAGGTTTGATTTTTTTGCACATGGTGTATCAGACCCCCAAGTCCTTCCTCCTGCAGAAAGTAACATCTCAATGTTGACTCCCAGCCAGTGTACCAAGAAAGAGGACCTGGAGCATTCCCTGGTTTTAATAGCTTTGACTACTATAACTTCATTGCTTTTGCTCACATACCTGTTGGTCTTAACTAGTCAAATGACCACCCCAAACTAAAAGGTAGGCTGAGGGAAGGTGATGTAAGTATATGCCCAGGAAAGACAGTATAAAGTCTTCCCTCCCTTTCACCCTTTATCATTTTGTACCTCACTTCCAACACTTAGAACTACATTTATTCACCCCCTTGAGGAAACATTCAAATATTCCATCCAGTTGCTGCATAAAGCTCTATTTCTAGATTGTCTGATGATAAATAGCTATTTCCACAGGACTTGGAACTCTCTCAAGGGTTAATTGATTTAGAACTTGAAATATGACTTCTCTGTCCCACCTTACCACTGTCCCTCTGTCCCAGTCCTTATAGGAAGTGATGGAGCAAGAACTCAGTAACTGGAAAATAAAATATATTCAAGCAAAAATACTCATTAGTAACAAAGAAAAATGGTAAACACCAACAATCATTGTAACAAAACAATAATTAAATCCTCTTGGTCATGTCCTTTGAAACTTCTGGTCTGGCAGCAGAGACAATCTCTGTCTCTTCTTTCCAGAAGAATTTCCCTTGACCCTTATTTTCTAGGGCTTCTGGCTCTGCTCTCTGGAAAGTCTTACTTTGGATTTTCCTTTCTAGCCCAAATGTGAAATAGACAGTGCAGAAAACCATATCCTCAGACTTGTGTTCCATTCATAACCAGTTTTGTGGAGCAGACATGGAATCCTGAAGTTGTACAGTGTAATGGATCTGTTTAGGCCAGCATTCTGGTCTGTTTGCTGATGCAATTTCCTTCATTTCTTCATAGACATTGATCTAATTCCTTCAGATAGTTACATTTTGCTGATAACCAGAGCCAAAGACAACATTCTCCTTGTCTACATATCGTATGCAGACCTGCTTTATTTTTTTAATTCCTCCTCTCTGCTTCTCTATATGTCTCTCTGGCCCTCTGTCACTTTCATTTGGTCTTCTTCTTGGCTCTCCTCCCACCTCTCCTTCCTTTCCTTCCCTCTTTCCTCTCCTTCTCTCCTTCATGTTAAATATAAAATGGTATTATTAGTATTATTAATGGAAGCCTTTAAGTTATTAGATTTAATAATAAATTCTTTCTCTTTTTGTTTTATGATATAATTTGTCCATGATGCTACTTTATGAGAAAGAATACTAAGATTCCCTTTAATGTTTCAAGGCAATTATGTGATTTTGTATATTTCATTACATCTTCATAATAGGGGAAGATATCAAAAGTAGTAGAACATTAATTCTGAAAAAGCTGAGCTCAGTTCATAAACATGTTCTAATATGAAATATTTGGGTCCAATTTCTATTACTGCATTTTAAATTGCTCTGAAACACAAAAGGTATAAAGCTATGATTTTATTATCCTTAGAGTCTGGTAAAAGAAAGTCATATAAAGGACAGTAGTAACAGCTTGTTTCTACTCCATGATGCTTGAGAAATCTCCTGAGAAGACTGAAGACTGAGACCCTGGCTGGATGAAGAAATTGTAAGGAAGTCACTATACTTACAAGATTGGTGACTGATGATGGCTGGTAAAACCTTAGTTCATCTCTCAGCCAGAAGACCTAAGAGACTTCTTCTTGTGGTCACATTGTGCAGAGTGTTTCCATTTCCTCACAACATGGTGACTATTTTCCAAGATGAGAATTCCAAGGGGGAAAGGCATAACATTTTTATGATCTAACCTTTGAATTCACACAGTAGCACTTCTACAGAATATGTTGGTTGATGCTGACGTGAAGGTGTGGCCAGATCCAAAATGAGAGAACATAGATGTCACCACTTAATGAGAGCCATGTCAAAGTCACAGGGTCAGAAACGTATATGGGATACGAGGAGTTATAGCCAGTCCTCTTAGTCACTTTTATTCAAATAATCATCTAAAATACCCCTCATTTTTAATCTACTTTTATTCACTTTCTTGAATGAATAAATGATAATTTTCATGTGCATAACAGTTTAATTATCCCTTTTAAAATATTTTACAACTTTTTAGAGAAAAATAATGTAACCATCATTTTTCTGTGTATTTGTAGATATCTCGACATAGAAGAAATCATTCACAGCATGTCTTGAAAGACATTATTCCTCCACTGGAACAACTGGTGAGTGATGAATTAACTCCAGAACTATATTCTCTGATCAACTGCTACAAAAAGAAACAACCCCAACCCTCAGCAACTTTAAATGACATAACTTAAAATATCTCATGTTCCTTGCATCAGGAATCTGGGCACAATTTAGTAATGTCCTATAGCTCAAGGACACTCAAAGATTGCAATCAAAATGTCAGCCAGGACTAGAGTCTCATTGGAAGGTGTGAGCTTTCAAGCTCACTTATATTATTGATACCAGGGTTAGCTTCTTCTAGAATGATTTCCCCAGAGGCTGTTATGTCCATTCAGGCTGCTATGGCAAAGTACCCTTGACTGGCTGGTACATAAATAGCAAACATTTATTTCTCATAGTCTGGAGTCTGCAAGACCTAGATCAGGGTATCAAAACAGTCAAGTTTGATGGGGCCCCCTTCCTTGATGCAGATTGCCACATTCTCTTTGTGTCCTCACATGACATGAAGAGAGTGAGAGAGCTTTGTGGGGTCCCTCTGTAAAGGTTCCAATCCACTTCATAGGCTCCACACTTATGACACAATTCCTTCCCAAAGGTAACATCTCCTAATCCATCCTCATTGATGGTTAAGAGTCCAACATATGAACTTTGAGGGGGACACAGACTTTGAGTCCATAATATTGCTCCATGGCACAAAATCCTCCCTGGCTTCTACTCTTACAGGTTTTAGCAACCCTTCTGACCTCATCTCTTTCTTTTTGCTCCTGGCTCATTTTTCTCTCAGTAAGTCCATATCTCACCTCCTCTGCAGGGCCATTCCATTTGCTTTTTTCCCCTTTCTGTTGCAATGTAATTCATTTGGTTCCCTTTCTTCATTTGCTTTACATCTTTGTTCTAGTGGCACTTTTTAAAGTAAGTCTTCCCTAATCTCCTTTAAACAAAAACAAGTATCATTTCCATCCACATGACTTTCTTAGTGAATTTTCCATACACACTCTACCGCCATGCACCATGAGGCAAACATACAATTTCCCTTTATTAGTTTGTCATCCCATTCAAATGTTAGTTCTATAAGGGTGGAGACACTATCTTCTATGTTCATTATTCATTCTTCTGATTCTAATGAGTGCTAGAACCTGGTAAAAACCTCCTAAATGTGTGAAATGAGCTTGCCAATGAAATATTAGTGGCTTTCTTTAATTGTAAGCTTATATAATGCACAGAACTATAACTGGATATTTTGTTTTATCTTCTATATTCAAGCACTAATTGACTTCTTTTTCAGTGCTACCACAGAAGGAAAATATATAACATTGAACCCATAAGTAGCTCATTGCTAAATCTTTTTTTTTTTTTTTTTTTTTTTTTATCGAGTCCATCTCTTTTACTAGCAAACATTCCTTCTAGGCTTGGAACACATTTTCTTTGGATCCATTTTTTCTGTGACCTTTTACATATGTCCTCATTTTCTGAAGCAGTTTTCCTCAGTGCATATGATATCCATCCACTCTCCTTATGCATGTATCCTCCACCATCCAGGCTGCCACATGCTTCCAACCTCACCCTCACACTGTACTATATCCTTCTCATGATAGTGGCCAGTAATTCCAGACCAACCTTCTTTAAGCCATACTGCATTATTTCATTTCTCTTGTCAAAATCTTCAAAAGCTTTCGTGTTTACCATAGTAGCAAATTTATAGACCTCTCTTAAGGTCCCTGATTTATGTTATTTATTATTTACTCTTGATACATACCCTCAAGCCAGGAATAATATGATTAACATGTGGCTCTCCCCCTTGAGGGAGTTCGGATTTGCTATAATGATTTTTGTTCTTTCAGCCCAGCATATGCTCATACACTGATTTGTGCTGTTCTGTCTTAATTCATGGGTAACAGACTTGTTCTATGGTGGGACTATAAATGCCTTAAAGTTAGAGACTGTGACATATATTTTCTTTATTATATAGTATTTCCACTCATAAGGCTTTTGTAACTACATTTTTTTCAGAAAAGGCATATCTGTCAGTTGATGTAATAATAAGATATTGAATGTTTATAAAGTAATACTCTTGATGGAAGATATCAACAAATATATGGCTGCTATTTATAGTAAAGACCAATTTTTAATTATTGCAATTAGGTATAATAGCATCTTATTTTGAAAATTAATTATGCAAGTCAGCATTTTCTATGGGAAATTCTCTCACTCTCAAATTTGAATTAAGTAACCATTCTTTGATTTGCCTCTAAATAGGAGCTTGATTTGCTTCTTTCCCAGCTGCATCATAATAAAATTGCTTCTTTCTTTTTCTTTTACTCTTACCTAACTATAAGCTATATGAAGAGATGGGTATGTCTTATTCACTATTTTATTGGTAAGAGTTACTATAAAACCTGATAAACTGTAGTTGTCCACTGAATAAAATAAGTCTATCAGATTTATATAAAGTCTGAATTACAAAGTAAACAAAGTACATAAAATAATTATGAAGAGCTATACCTTATAAAAATACAACATGCAAATGTTTTCTCTGAAATATTTCGTGAAACATGAAGTTAGAGTGAAAATAGAGTTAGGTGAATGTAATCATATACACTTATACTCATGTTCATATATACACACTATCATATGGAATTATATTGAATATACCTTAAGATGTTCCAATTTTTTAACAGAAAGCTATCTATTATAATTTTTATAATTCCAAATTATGGTTCTTATTCAAATTTAATCAATTACCATTATGCAATCATAATGTATCACAGATGCCTGTGTATCAAACATAGGCTAATTTTAGTAAAACTATTAAAATATTCAGAAATAGTTTTTAATTTTTTCATAACATTGTTATTTTTATTCACTAATATGTAATAACTCTAGCATCAATTCTAAATAAGTTTTTTAAAAAGTCATTTTTGTATCCAGAGTGTGGACAATACGTGAGTACAGAGTAGATCTATGTGTTCAATACTTTAGCCCAGATAGCCTTGTAAAGGTGACTGTAGGAAGCACTACTCAATCATTTTAAGGATTTTGTTTTATAATCTCTAAATCTCTTTGTGTTCAGAAGTGTATGTTTCTTTCTCTCTTCTCTTTCTGCCTCTCTTTCTCTATTACACACACACACATACATACATACACTCTTTCCATAAGTACTTATTTTGCTGTGTCTTATAAACACTTGTAACAAACTTTCACCTATACACCTCTCCTTGAATTAAGTTTCTTATGCAATATTAAAGACAGAAATGTCACTTTTGTGCTGAACTCATATTGATGAATTATCTATACTAATAAGCAATGACAAAAAACACACATTTGCCTAAAACAAATCTGATTAATTGAAACTATACATTTCCATTCACCAAGACCTAAATTATTTTCCAGAATGCAGAAGTTTTCTTTACATCTGACTAATCTAACCTTTTTGAGACTCACGTGCTTCTCCCAGCGGTCTGCCAGGGTGCTCACTCCCATCTTGGCAGCTCTCCTGACTTCCTCCAGGTCTGAGTGTTTCTTCCAGAGTCACCCAGCAGTCCCTGCAGTAGTTTCTCTTTGCAGTGCCTACTAACACAGGCTATTGTGCATAGTATAATATACAATAAAACCTTTTCAAAAAACTGAAACAAATCCTTTAATTTGATGTTATTATTTATTATTATTCATTCTATTTACCAAATGCATCCTCAACCTTATTTATTTCTGAAATGTGTGAATATAAATTTCATTTTATATATCTTTTTTATTAAGTTTATTGGTACATTTTAGGTATACAATACAGTTATATACATCATTGGGATCTTGTACCTGTACATGATGTATCTTGGTTCTTATTTTTTCCCCATTTCCCTGCCCTCCCTTCAACCCTTCCACTCCTCCCTATTTACAAAAATTTGTTTCCATTTTTTCCTTTTCTCATATTTTTTCCTTTCCCTTCTTTCCTTTTGCCTATCCCTTTAGACCTTTTCTTTCTATTTCACATTATCAATTATACATTTTGATTCTTATTTACACTTTTAGTTTCTCACACCAGAGAAACTATTCCGTATTTATGCTTGTGTGTGTCCTATTTATTTCACTTAAAAGTATGGCCTCAATGTGCATTCATTTAGCTATAATGTCTCTAGTTTCTCATTCTTTATAGCTGAGTCATACCCAATTTTACAAAAAAACCACATCTTCTTTATCCAGTCTCCAGTTGGGCAATTGGGCTGTTTCCAAGCTTTAGCTATTTCAAACTGTGCCGCTATAAACATATATCGCTGTGGTATGATTCTTTTAATTCTTTGGGGAAGACACCCAGCAGAGGAATAGCTGAGTCAAATGGGACTTCCAGTCCTAGTTCTTTGAGGTATCTCCATACTGATTTCCACAGTGGTTGCACCAGTCTGCACTCCCACGGACAATGGAGAAGGGTTCCTTTCTCTCCACACCCCGGGCAGCATTTGTTATTGGTTGATTTCTTGATAGCAGCCATTCTTTCTGGGGTGAGGTGGAATCTCAGTGCTCTTTTCATCTGCATCTCTTGAATGACCAGCGATGTTGAACATTTTTTCATATGTTTATTTGCTGCTTTTTCTTCTTTGTCTGAGAAACATCTGTTCATTTCAGATGCTCATTTTTGAATTGGGTCTTTGAATTTGAGGAGTCTGATTTTTTTCAGTTCTTTATATATTCTAGATAGCAGTCCTTTGGCTGAGGTACAGCTGCTAAAAATTTTTTCCAACATTGTAGGTTGTCTCCTAGCTCTGTTGGTGGTTTCTCTTGCAGTGCAGAAACTTTTTAATAAGATGAGATCCCAGTTGTTAATTCTTTGTGCTAATTCCTGTGCTACTTAGGCTTTGTTCATAAAGTCTTTTCCTATGCCAATATCTTCAAGAGTTCTACCTAACTTATCTTCCTATGTATCTCTTAAATTCAGAAAAGTATCGTGAACATTTTTCAGGAATCATAAGAATTCTGGGCTTTAAGTCATATATTCAAGTCCCCTTTGGAAGCTTCATCTCTTAAAACTGCCTTTGTTAAGTTGGTT